CCTGGGAGCAGCTTGCCAAATTGTTCCAACACCTATGGGAGGCTAATGTTCTATTTTTCCCCCCCTCTCTTCCTTTTCAAAAGTGCTCGTAGTCGGCCACGAAAGTCCCAACGCCACCACCATCACCATTACCGCTCTGGCTCAGAGAGCACTAATTCCTTCTCCGAAAGCTGTGGAAGCAGGTGAGCATGCCGTGCACAGGTTGGGTTCCGCCATTTTGTATCAGCTGGCTCAAGGCCACATTCATTTCACTACAGGATTCCTTTACCTGACACAAAATGCTTGTTGCTCATACCTGTAATCGTCTATAGTTAGGTGCTACACACCTTGTAACAGGCCCTTGTGTTCCTCTGGCCCCAGGTGTAAATCCTGTACATATTCAGCTCCCAGAGGTACACCCTTCGGTAGTTTTCTTCTGCCACCTTTTGGAGTGAAATCTAAACGTTATGAAAACTAGACTGCCCCAGCTTAGTTTTTACATCAGTTGCTGAGTGTATATCTGTGTGCGTGGAAGGCTCTGTGTGCTCTTTTTTCCCTGTCCGTATTACAGTCTGAGCTCAGGCATCTGCATTTGAGGACTCTAATACAGAATGTCTCTCCCAACCAACGTATCACATTTTATAGTTTTCATTATTAAACACATACAAAACAAGATAGTAGGGCAAATCTGCAGAAAGGTGTAATGCTACAGAAATATAGAAAATAAAAGAAATCATCATTTGGTCCTGTTTAGACATTTAGTGTACATACATCTCATACTCCGAGAGGAAGGACAGCAAACTGCTTTCCCCAGAAGATGTCTGGATTTGGTATGACAGGCTGACACTGTTCATCCACTGGCAAACTGCCAGGCTGGCAAAAACTTACTTCTATGACACCTCTATTACTAGGGCTCTTAGGGGAAAGGAATTCCCTATTTTGGACCAATTGAAAAGTAGGTGCCAATTTAAAACTCCCACCAAAGCTAAATGAAACCAATCATCTTTTTTCTTATAATCCCAGCTAGGGCCTTTGCAAACACTACAATCCTAGGAGTGAATGAACTGAAGCGGAGTGGATTAGGACATTTTCAGTCCTAAAATTACTAAGTATTGTACTCAGGAAATAACAAATGCAGAAGAATCGGATTTGTTGTAATAGTGAGACAAGGTGTAGCACAATACAATGCGCTATCTGATAGAATAATATCAATCAAACTTCAGGGAAAGCCTGTCAATATAACCATCATTCAAGTTCATGCCCCAACTACAGATGCTGAAGAGGAAGAAATTGAAAGCTTTTATGCAAGAGTCCTGGAAGAAACTGATCACACACCTAAACAAGATATGCTATTACTCATAGGTGACTAGAATGCAAAAGTGGGGAACAAAGTACAATCAAATATTGTGAGAAAATTTGGGCTAGAAACATGAAATGAAGCAGGAAAGCGACTCATAGAATTCTGCGAAGACAAGTTGTTCATTGTGAATACATGTTTCAGGCAAGTGAACAGATGATTGTATACATGGACATCACCAGATGGCCAATACAGACATCAGATAGATTACATAATCAGAAGCAGAAGTTGAAGAAGCTCTATTCTTGCTGCTAAAATAAGATAAGGAGCTGACTGTGGTATGGATCACGAACTGTTAAATGTCAAAAATTAGAATAAAGCTTCATAAAAGCACCAAAACATTCATAGTGCCAAAATACAATCTAAACAACATTCCTGAAAAGTTTAAAGGCCATGTAAAGAACTGGTTTATATTACTAAGTTCAAGTGAATGGAAACTGGAAGAACTGTGGGTTGAAACCAGAAATATTATCAAGAAAGAATGCACAAAGAGTATTCCTGTAGTCATAAGAAATGAAAAGGCTCAGTGGATGACTGATGAAACTGTTATAATTGCTAAAGATAGTTGAGAAGCGAAAGTAAAAGGGGGCAGAAATAGAATCAGAAATCTCAATGCAGTGTTCCAGCAACTGGCCCATAGAGATAAAGAGAACTTTTATAATAATCAGTGTAAAGAAACAGAAGAGCCATGACCAGGATAGCCCCGCTCTTGGAGAACTGTGACTGACCCGAGGTCACCCAGCTGGCTGCTTGTGAAACACTGGGGAATCAAACCCAGTTCTCCAGATTAGTCCGCCGCTCTTAAACACTACACCAAAATGTAAGAAAGTTTAATAAACAAGAATAAAAATAGCAGGCACTGGTCTGTTCAAGCATCAGGCTGTTGAATTCAGATAGACTGGTGGTGAACTTCCACAAGCACTCACCAGGGAAAAGAAAGTGAGCATCCTCATTGTAGGGTAATTGAAGTGAGAGGTTCTGTCTCTTTATTTTAAAATGTGTATCTTGGTTTACCTAACTCAGCTCGAGGCACCTTCCAAAACAAAATAATAACATAAGGATAAAATTCTAGCATCATACACATCGTACACATTGGGGGGAACCAATATCACAAGTGCAGCAATGAGATAAGCCATAAAACATCAGCCATAAAATCACAGCTCATCCTGTGTAAAAGCCGTGCTGAAACCAGGAGAGCTTTACAGCTACTTCTGTCACCTGGCAGAGAAGTAGGTTTCTACACATCAGCAGGGAGAGCACATTCCGGAGCCTGAGGGCAACTGCAAGAAGGCCCTTTTAAAGCACATACAGAGCAGTCCTAGGCAGAGTTATACCCTTCAACATGTACTGAAGGGAATGGACTTAGATGGCTGTAACTCTGCTTAGGCCTGCACTGTTAAGTGTTCTGGTTTTTAAGGTGCTCAGGTGTACAATAGACACTTCAGCTCACTCATGGGGTATCAGGGTACTTTCTCATGACCTAGAAATCAGATGTAGCCCATGACTGCCTGTTTACTGGTGGGGGCAGGTTTGAAACAGGATTTCTGTCCATCTGTCCGTCAAAGCTAGGAAGAGTCACCACAAGCCTGACAAATATTCACTCTAGGCCCTCCACATATTCTAAAGAATATACCCAAGATAAATTAGAGACACTAGCACCAGCTAGAGTTGCCAACTCCAGGCTGGGAAATTCCAGTGGGGGGGAAGAGCCTGTGGAGGGTTGGTTTGGGGACGGACTTCAGTGGGATATAGTGTCACAGACTCCACCCTTCAAAGCAGCCATTTTCTCCAGGGAAAGTGATCTCTGTCATCTCGAGATGAGTTGTAATTCTAGGAGATCTTTAGGCCCCACGAGGAGGTTGGCAACCCTGCCTCCAGCCTCCTGCAGTTGTGTATCCCACCTTTCAGTGGCCCATAAAGAAGGAACTCAAAATGTACCACAGATGGCTGAGGTAATTCTGCACCATCCTAGAAAGCTGAAATGGCATTCAAGACACTTTGGCTGTGGTCACACTGGTGGCTTGGTGCAATATGGTGCCGCCTCTAATTGAACCGGTTTAAAGTGTTGTGGGATATATCAGCCACACAGCACAGCCTGCTGCGGGTTACCCACGGAGACATCCCATGGTAAAGCATCCACATTATTGCTGCACCTCAGCGACAGAGCGCACTGCAAAAAAATCCCCAAAATTCATGCACACACATAAGTGTCCATGCACATGCGCTCATGTGCATGCACACACATGCACACATAGGCAGGGTTTTTTTTAAAAAAAATGCCCCCTAGCGGCAGAACAGACCTGCAGGTTCAGACTGCCAAATCCGTTCTTCGTGCACTCCCCCATGTTCAGATATCCGGCCATGTGCAATGACTGTGCGGGGAACCGAAAACACCACTTGTGATGTGATGCCTTTTTAACCCGGCTCCAGGTTGTCCTATGACGGGATAAGTATGCCCGGGGAACGCCTGACAGATGTGGCTGTTTGACTACGCCCATTTGATCCGGAGGGGAGGAGTGGCTGTGTCGGGCCAAACCAGAGGTCATTTTGGGGGGGAACGCGGGGGAACGCAGTTCCCCCGGGTAAGGTACGGGGGGCGGGGCACATGACGAAGCCCCGCCCCCTGCTTCCGGCCGCCCCGCTTCCAGACCTCATTCAGCCAGGAGGAGGCAGGAGAAGAGGGAGGGTAAGTTGCTTCCTCCCTGCCTCTCCCCATCCCTGCCTGCCTGGGGCCAGGGAGGGCCTTCACGGGGCTTCCTTGCACTCCCGCCGGCCTTGCAGGTCCACCGCCGGGCCCCTCATGGGGGGCGGGTCCACCGGCCGGGACCGTTGGGGGTGGGGTGTGTGGCCTTATGACACATTTCCGGTGATGTCAGGAGGTGTGGCCTTATGACACACTTCCGGTGATGTCAGGAGGTGTGGCCTTATGACACACTTCCGGTGATGTCAGGGGGTGTGGCATATGCTAATCAGTTATGTTAATGAGTTCCCCTCGCTCTTTTTCTACGAAATGACCCCTGGGCCAAACTGCCCGTGTGATCACAGCCTTTGATTATTAGGGAAGTCTGAACATCACCCCTTAGTGGCCTGTATCTGCCCTTCCACATGCAAGCAGGCCTCGCCATTCCCCCTAGTCCTGCCAGCAGCCCTCTTATATGAAACATGCCCCTTCCAGACAGGTTCTGCAGTAACCACTCAGCCTTGTGTTCCACTTAGGCCTAGAGCCAGGTTCCAGGAGGAAGGCCGCAAGGCTAAATGGAAGCGGTCCCAGCATTCTTCAAAAAGCTCTAGGAAGTCAAATGGTGCCACAGAGGTGACAGACCCCCCTCTCCTCAGCCACGCCGTCCAGAACAACAGCTTTCCCTCTGCCACGGAAGTTGTAAGTATTCTCCCATCCGCTTCCTTCCTCAGTTTAGGCCCAAGGAGCCTGTGTGAAATTTTTATGACTCAATTACAGCCATGTTAGACTAAGTTGGTTTAAAGTTGTCTTCATTATTAATGGAGTGGCTCTCTGATGTATTAAAAGTCATTCCTCCACCCTGCATTTTGCACAAGGGGGGGAGGGAACGGCTCAGGCTTTAACCCATGAATAATAAAGAGAAGACATTTACCAAGGAAGTGGCCTCGGGCAATGATATTTTACAGGGACGTGTCTGTTATGTACCTCTTCTGCTCCGTGGATGAGCTCATTCCCAGCTGGTTCCTGTGCCCACTAGTTCAGGCCTCCCAGGCACGAAAGATTAAACCTATAAAAGAAAACATTTACATCTGACGGGGTGTGTGTGGGGGGGGAGAGGACAGTTATAGGTGAGGAGATGTTTACGCCCCTGCCCCATCACAAGTGAGTATTCTTGCTGCTCCTCAGGATGGTAATAGAGGCTGTGTGAGCATCCAAGGGGAAAATGCATGCTCAAGTCCCAAGGGCATTCTTTTTTTTTTTTACGTGCGCGGGAGATAGAGTGATGGCTTGAGTCCAACATGTGCTGTCAGCTCAAAGCAGCATTTGTTTGCACAAGAAACATGCCCAGGGGAGTCTCATTCCAGAGATCCTGTGTGCCCTTCCAGCATTTCCGAGCTAAACGGAAGAAGCTTCAATCAGTGTTAGACTTCCCATCTGGTTAGAGACACTGCAGTCCTGAATTTGGGTTTCTTGCAGTGACGGGGAGATGGTTCCATGAAAGGAAGGAGGAGCTTGCTTGTCTCTAGGAAATCTTTCATGCCCCCACTTGGGGGCCAAACCACACAAGAAGCTGTTTGGGTCCACATATGGGTCAATGAGCTGCAAAAAGCAGCTGTAAAGAGGGATATGGATCAGGGCACAGAATCGGGGAAGGTAAGGGGTCATTCTTCCCTATGCCATATGACTCTCATGGGCTGCTTTTATGCCTCAGGAGGGGATAAAACAGACACCTACACTGTGCTTGACTTTTGTCCTTACGAGGGGAGGCATTTCTGATCAGGTAATCAGTGCAGGGGTGGAAATGTGAAACTCCAGGCTTCCCCTGGGCCTCCACCACACCCAGGCCTGTAGCCAGGATTTTTTAGTTCGGGGGACATTTAAATTTTTAAGGGGGCAGTTAAATTACACTTAATTAAATGAATCTGAATGCCTGTCTTTAGAGGAGGAGGCTCTGAGCCCATTTCTAGCCCTTCCTTTCAAGGGACACGGCAGCAAGCGCATCAGTTCCTAGGGAAAAAATGGCTCAGAGGGCATTTAATTGCCTTCAGAAGGCATTTAAATACCTTTTGAGTTCCCTTCCACGGGGCAAGAAAGCCTTTCTGGGGGATCATTGGAGATGTACTGAAGGTGCCACTCTTGAGTGCCCTTCTAAGCTTTCTTGCCCTGTGGAAAGGAACTCAAAAGGCATTTCAATGCCCTCCAAACTGTCTTTTCCCTGGTCTCATGATGCGCCCCCCCCAAATTCTACAGTGGGAGGAAGAGGGAAGCTGGCAAGGGCTCTTTTTGTAGCAGGAACTCCTTTGCATATTAGGCGACACACCCCTAATGTAGCCAATCCTCCAAGAGCTTACAGTAGCCCCTGTAAGAAGAGCTCTGTAAGCTCTTGGAGGATTGGCTACATTAGGGGTGTGTCGCTTAATATGCAAAGGAGTTCCTCATACAAAAAGAGCCCATCCACACCATGCCTTTTTGCATCTCCATGACATTTCTGGAAGTCCAAACACTTGTCACCAGTATCATGTGTTTTGGCCTAGTTAGGTGGCCCTCTAACATTTAAGAGATATAAATACCTTTGTAACACCCCTGTTCTCTCTCCAAGGATCCTGGGCTGGTTTCAGGTTTTGGGGGCCCAGGCAGAGAGAAGGGCCCTCCCCCCACTCTTCCGGCCACCAGGCTCCCCACCCACCTGCATGCCTCCTACCTACTGATGTATCCCTCCCTTGTCTGCTCCTCTGCCCTCCTGCAGCCCTTTCCCCAGTGGCACCAGGCACTGCTTGTGCTCCAGGGAGCATGGGTTGCAGACTGTTAGCAAGTGAGTGGGCAAGGGAGGTGGGCAGAAATGGGCCCTGACAGGCCCTGGGCCCCAGCAGCTGCCCCACCTCAGTGTATGTTGACGCTGGTCCTGCAAGGATCCGTGCTTTCTGCACAGGCACACACCACTTTCCAAGTTACAGACAGCTCTCCCATTGTCTGCTGTACACTGTCTTTAATTTTCCTCTGTCGTGGTTTGACATGCGTGGCTTTAAAAGCTAAGAGGCAGTTTGACTGAAGACAAAAGCAATTGCCCTGTCATCTGTGATTGTGTGTAAGGTACCAAAGGAATGCTGGGTCACGGGAAATGGCAGGCTGTGTTTTATGTGGATGCCATGGACCCATTTTGCTAACAGCAGTGCTTTCTTCCAGCACGAGAGCATCCTTACATCATCAGCACGGAAAAAAACAGCAGGAAGAACACACCACTGTTCAGAGGACAGGTCAATAGATCCAACCCCTTCTACCTCAGCATTCATGCACATACTTTTACATGTGTGAATAATAAAAATAAGGAGCACTGTCCCCCTTCCGAATCTAGAGATTTAATTTCTAGAGACCTAGGAGGAGGGGGCCAAAACATGACAAACAGAAGCTGTAGTGGGGGGTGGGGATGGCTGACAACTCTTATTGCACGCTTTAAAATGAAGCCATTGTTATGTAGTTCATGTTGCCATGCTCGGAGGATGAACTTTAAGATTTAAGTATTAATGTGCCGCTGTTTGTAAAATCTCATTCAGACACCCCCTGCTGAGATTGCTTTCAAAGGCACTAATTAGGAGTTAATTAAAAAAGAAAAAAACTACCATTCCGCTTGAGCTGCTAGGGAGCTCAGAGCTGGGGTCCTTCAAAGTTTAGGTGGCTTGAACCCTCCGTATTGGCTTGCCAGTTTTCGTATTGTACCTGCTCCAATGGCTTTAACAGAAGCCAAGCTCGTAGGAATTGGTCTGGGAAAGCATTCTCTGTCACTCTGTCTCTATGGTAGAAAAAGCTTCAGTTCTGCACATCGGGTTACTATGAAAGGCAAAGGGACAGAGCCAATGAGAAAGCTGGCAATCCTGCCTTCATACCTTAAAGACCTCTGCCTCCCACTGAGGGCTGGGAGGTTTAATCTCACCCTGGGGTTTCCCATTTGCTGCTCGTCATAGCCCCCCCCCCCCATGCACAAATGCTTTCATATGAACCTTACCTACTTTCTACAGTATGAGCCAGGAAACAAGCAAAAGCCTTTTTAACGTCCTTCCTCCCAGGGTGAAGAGCAGCAGAGGCCAATAGCGGAGTCCTTGCCTTAAGCTCTTCAGCTACTCCCATTTGCCTCCTAGGCTCATGGATGAGGAATCAGCATCTGTGGAGTGTAAAAAGAGCATTCTGATTTATAGCACTCTTGCTGTTAACACCCAGTGGGATGAGAGAAAGTGGCCTTTGCCTGCCTATTTGACATGAGCAGCTGAGGTGTGCAATAAGAAGAGGACCATGCAAAGGCTTCTTATACTGGAGCAGAGGAGGTTAAAGAGCCCTTTGCCTGCAACTTGGCTTATGAGGGAGTGAATCGGTTGGACAGAACCTGTGTTGCTAGCCCTTTGGCTCTTGCCCAATTCAGAATGTGGCTTCTGTTAGAAATTGGTTGTCAGTCAGATAAGCTTTCTTCTTAAGTATCCGATGTGTAGAATACAAATTATATACACAGGGGCATACCCACATCTGGCAATGAAGTTTAACATCTGACGATTGCCATTATATTAGACTTCTAAGATTGGGAAAGCATTTAGTGGTTGGAGATATAAATGAGGGTTATTTTTTAATGTTGTGCCAGTTTGGTGTAGCGGTTAAGTGCGCGGACTCTAATCTGGGAGAACCGGGTTTGATTCCCCACTCCTCCACTTACACCTGGCTGGATGACCTTGGGCAAGCCGTAGTTCTGATAAGAGCTGTTCTTGAAAAAGAGCAGTTTCTGTCAGAGCTCTCTCAGCCCCACCTACCTCACAGGGTGTCTGTTGTGGGGAGGGGAGGGGAAGGGAAAGGAGTTTGTAAGCCGCTCTGAGACACCTTTGGGTAGTGAAGGGCAGGGTATAAATGCAATCTCTTCTTCTTCTTTAAATAGAATATAAATATATTTCATAGGATTTTGCATTAATATAGTTATGTTTTATGGGTCAAATCCATCTTTAGTTGTGCTCAAAAGGTCTCACACAACAGCATAGTAGCTCTGGATGCAGGCACACCATATATTGAAGTGAGCAAGCCTGAGACATTGCCTCATGTATTAGGAAGGCATGGAAACTTCATGAACATTCAGACTTCTCAGATGTCTGTTTGCCAAAAGGCCTAGGGACAGGCAGGGCAGCATGCTGTTGCGGGACAGAGTAGGTCAGTGGTTTCCAGCCTTTTTGGTATGGCGACCCACAAGTCCAGATTTACTTGGTATGGTGACCCAGCCTGCGCTGACTCAAGTGTTTTGCCAGCCTAGGGAAACTATGACCTTGGCACCCAACTAGTTTAGCACCCAACTAGCTAACCACATGTCTTTGAGAACCCAGCAAACATTACACAAAGGGCGCAGCTGCCCCCATGATGAACCCCAAGCAAATGGCATTCTGAGGAAAGGTTAAAGCGCTTAGGGCTCTTTAGCTTGGAGAAAGGACGACTGAGGGGTGACATGATTGAGGTTTATAAGATTATGCATGGGAAAGAGCAAGTAGAGAAAGAGGTACTTTTCTCCCTTTCTCACAATACAAGAACTCGTGGGCACTCCATGAAATTGCTGAGCGGTCGGGTTAGAACGGATAAGAGGAAGTACTTCTTCACCCAAAGAGTGATTAACACTTGGAATTCACTGCCACAGGAAGTGGTGGCGGCTACAAGCATGGACGGCTTCAAAAGGGAATTAGATAAGCATATGGAGCAGAGGTCCATCAGTGGCTATTAGCCACAAGGTATAGATAGGGGCTCTGGGGCAAGTGATGCTCTGTCTTCTTGGTGCTTGGGGGGGGGTCAACAGTGGGAGGGCTTCTAATGTCCTGGCCCCACTGGTGGACCTCCTGATGGCACTGGTATTTCTGGCCACTGTGTGATACAGAGTGTTGGACTGGATGGGCCTTTGGCCTGATCCAACATTGGCATCTCTTATGTTCTTATGTTCTCATGACACACAGGATTTGTGTGTGGAGTTTAGATTCCAGCCCTTGACCACCCTCTCCTTCTCTGTTACTCCCTCTAATCCCTCATAAGATTTTAGG